GTGTCACATTGACTACCCAATTTAATTTTATTTCACTAGGGTTACGAAGTGGCTTAATCGAAACTAGGTATGAAATTAGGTGCTCATAGTAAAACAAAATCAAATTGGGTGGCCAATGTGACACTAAGCCCATGTTTAGTCCCCATTTTTTTTAAAAAAAAACATATTCACTCTCTTCATTTTTAATTACACATTCTCTATCAATTCGTTTTCTTTGCCTATGAAATAAATCTAGCATATTGTAACAAGTGGGCATCTAAACCTCGATTTGGTCGGTTTGGATTAAATTTCATTTTAATTATACATTTTAATCGACCCATAAATACTATCTCTTTATTCTTCATCACTCATTTTTATCTATTTATAAAGTAAATCATTTATATATTCCTCGCAAATGAAGGTTAAAATAGGGGACAAAATATAGTGCTATATAACAATTAATAGGTTCTAATTATTGTGCATTAGGGAGATTATGATTGCGGAGAAAAATGAGGAATTTCTTGTTACATGCCAATGCAATTGGTTTAGGATGCATGTTTGGTACAGCTTTTCACAAAAAAAAATAAGCTGTGTATTCTATCAGATGTGTGAACAGAGTTATAGGTCTTGCCGAATGTGTAAATACTAAATATTAAATAAAATAATTTAATCAACTTATAAGTTGGAAAAGCCTATACCAAACATATGATGATATTCTCATAATTGAAGTGCCAAAACAGTAAAATTATTGAACATTTCTCTAGTGCTTTTGTTCAGTGTAATTTAAGTAAGGAGGGGTAAGTGAGTCGTGATGAGCCTGGCATGAAATGATTTTCATAAGTTGACAAAACTCACGAGCTCATTCCATGTCAGACTAAGTCGGGTCGGTTCAAATGAATCAAATTGACCTTCCAATGGAAAGAAGAAAGCCTCAAATCTCTCCAAGGATCTCGACAATCAATTTTTAATCATTTAGCCGTCGAAAAACCAATCACTATTTTTTTTAATAAATAAAGTGCTTGCATGGGTGTTACGGGTCTTCCGAAGCCCCCCACCTCGTTCACCCATCTCATCGGCCACGTGTTGTCCAACCGATCATTACCACGTGGCTGACGAGCTGAATACGTGGCAGAAGAACTGATTCCATATCTCCGAACTGAAACAGACGAGCTGATTTCATATCTCCGAACTGAAACACTGTTGCTCCCCCCCATAGAAGAACCGAATTCATCCGCCCTTCACGACGGATGTAAAGGCCCGCACTCTGCACCTTGCACTTCACTATCCTCCTCGCCACTCCTTCGCCAAGATCTTTTAGGAGACCTCCAAGGTCAAGTCCTTGACTGATTGATGAGACTTGTGTCGAGGCACAAAAGGTCAATTCACGCTGACATGTCAAAAACTATTTAATGTCCGTCAACCTATGGATTGACAGATTTAGGAGTGTCCAAAAGTCCCGAACCGAACAGAACCGAACCCGAACCGAACCGAATCGAGCGGTTCTTCATAAGTTAAATAGCCGAACGGGTACCCGAAGCAAGAACCGATGAATTTGGGTCGGGTCTAGATCAAGAATCGAAAAACCAAATAAGAACCGAAACTAAATAATTTTTTTATTTTTTATATTGAATTAATTAAATTATTTTATTTTTTTCAAACAAATTAGCAAATTAATTAAATAAATTAG